AAGTTTAGGACTTTTTCGAAAGGATAAATTTACTTGGGTGGTTAAATACACATTATCAAAAAAGATTAACAGTGACTCCTCTTATTATGTCTAATGATAGGTCCATAGATTTATGCGTTATGACAAAGTATAATTAAAAATAAAAAAACTTGTTTGAATACAATAAAAATATAAGAGTTTACTTATATAAAGTTGTAAAATTTAAGGATTTTTTTATTATTTTAATCTAATATTTTCATCAACCCCACACAATTCATGATTTTTATTAAAAATTGTAATATAATAATTCTAATTGATATACTGCTTTATCCATATCAAGTTTCATTATGAAACAATCTCTTCACTGGAAATGTTTTAGACGATTTGTAGTACTGTTGTGGTAGCATGACTATAAGTTGGAGACAATGAATTTGAACAACAAATGAAGCTAAAAGCCACATGGACAATGTTGAACAAAGAGTGAGGGAGATTAAAGAATGAAGATACAGCATAACTCCGTAAGATAATCACAAAGCTTTCACTTTGACTACTAAAATAATTTTGTCATTGTACCTGCGAAAGCTCATTAATTAGACCAATTAATCAAGAAATACTCCCAAAGTTAACCCAAAATTTTCATTTTACGACCTATTTGATGAGTTCAAACAAAAAGTTTTCTTTAATTTAGTTTAAGCATGAGGAATTCATATTCAAAAGTAGGGTGTTAATGAATAACTTCAAATATCTAAAAACAAGAATATTAAAAAGAAATTTTTTTTTTATACTCAAATTTTTTTGGATATTTTTTTTGTCAATAGAATTCATATAACCGTCACGACTTTAATAAATATTATATAAATGGACACATAAAAAAATTTTAATCTGTCACTAAATTTAAGACATGACAAAGGTGAATGAATTTGATAGAGAGATTAAACTTGTTCAAACCAAGATTATAGCTAGTCAAGAGTGAATGAAAGGGGTCAAGACAGTAAATCTTACATTAGTTGCTTATTTTACCTATACTTGTTGCAAGTGAAAAAATATGTAAGTATAACCTTAAATCCCAAGAATTATATATGAATATTAGAATGTCAATCAATCATATTACATATCTATTTGGGCAATAATAGTTGATAAGTAGAAGTAATTGTAGTTTTTTTAAAAGATTAGGTCTTCTTTTTCACTTTTCTCTTAGTAGCAACTTTCAATGGATAGATACCATTACTTAAAAGCTAAAAAAAAACTTTAGCCAAAAATTATTAAAACCATAGAAACTTTCCTATCAAAAGTTTATTGGGCTAGAAGTTTATATGATCGTTAAACTATACTAACCCAATAAAATGTACAAAACCCATATGTAAGTGGTCACAATTAATTATTTGGGCTTTCATGCTTATTTTGTATTAAAACTAAACTTATTAGCCAGTTTTATTAAATTATTAAAATCACTAATTAATAGTAGCCCATTTATTGGAAAATTCAAATATTCTCCCACTTAAGCAATATTAATTAGGTTGTTTGATTTTAAGAAAACATAACCAAAAAATAAAACTCCAAGCTAATTACCTTTACTTTGATGTGACCATAGTTTTTTAAAAATAATTTAGCCCTTGAGATAGTATCTTAATAATCTTGTCCAATAAAACCATTTAATACTAAATCATGGTAGCCATTATGCCTCTTATCAACATAGGACCAATCTATAGTTACAAGTACTAATGACTTTATCGACAATGGATCTTAGTATGGTTATGTAGCAAGAAAATAATACCTAAATGTGATCTTAATGTTTTATTTTCATTATTAGTACTCTTGTTGATTTCTCTAAACTTATTAAAAAATCTTTATGGCATTCAGTTGTGCATGTATGTCTCTTCTTTATCCTCGAAGTTCCTTATTGATATCATTTATGAGACATAGTCAAATGAAATTAAAGTTATACTTAAAACAGATACCAAGTCTTAAAATTTTATAATATGACTTGTCAATATAAGATATGCACATGCAATAACAAACATATATAAATAACAACTATGATGTATACATAAAATAATTGTGTCCACTTCACTTGATGGTATCTCATGGACTTATTAATCTCAAACTATATCTTATAAGTAATTAACAATCACATGCAATTTATTTAACAAAATAAAGAAACCTAAAATAGTAATTGTTTCAAAAGTAAATTTGCAATGCATCATTGTAACCATCAACTTAATATCTTAATATGTTCTATTTTTCATACCTATAAAAATTCATATATTAAGCTTGGCAATACCATAATCCTCACATAGAGAAAATACGTAGTCATGTAATCAAATTACAATGACTTTATTGCTCTATTGAATCACAAACATGCTCCAATTAAATTTTGAATGATAAATAAAGAGCATTTCAATAAATAAAGTCATAACAAAATTATCTTCAATAAATGAAATCATAATAAAATTATGTATTGTTTGCCTTAATGCGAAATGTGATAACCATTATTATTCTTGGACTTCCATGATGTCACTTTAATAAACCACTTACAAACTAATAATATATTATGAACAAAATTTCATATTCATATGTTCATACAAACAAATTTGTCAATGTTTTAACGTGAAATTATTTTCAATAAATTTGGAATTAATTGAATTGCCAATCTTTTATGTCTAAAAAATGTCTTAATTAATAACCTATTAACTCCCATTAACCTTAACACATATGATATCTCCAAATTAATAATTTTATAGCATTTATGAGTTCTTACTACTTTAAAACATATGCAAACAAACTCCCATTGATTTTCACTTTCTTTAAAAAAATAGTTTTTGGCATTAATAAAATATTAATGATAACAATAATAAAATCAAAACTGTTATATTATCATTCTTTAAAATAATTGTCAAAATTAGTTCACATATAGTTCAAAACAATGGAAGTGAAATGAGAAAAAATTATAAAATTTTGCTCTTTCTGAAAAGTAAACCAACAATATTTAAGGAAGATTATCAAGAAAGGAATTGAACTAATAAAAATGAAACAAATAGTTTACTTATTTGCACAAAACTTCATTCCTCAAAACTCTCACACATGTGATAAGTGTAAAACAATATTCTCTCCCTCACATGTGAGTTCCTCAAAAGAAAATATTAATTTTTTTTAAAACACATTGTAAACAAATGACAACAAATATGCCCTTTAAAATTGATAACTGTTAGGTTTGATAATGGTAACTAAGATAATCAAACAAATATCTTAATTGAGAGTTAAACAACTACAATAAATATTTATTAAATTATTATATTTCAACAACTCTCAATTTTACTTAGGTCAAATTGAGATATCATAATGGTCTAAAACTTTCTTGTATGGAAACTAACCTTTTTAGTTATCATAAAACACTATATAGCATATGTATATCCCCATATATGATAAATTCAAGTGACTAACAATATACGCATTTACTATGTTGTATAAAACATTTAACAACTTATCACTCATGGTAAACATTGACTTATGATGATATTTTTCCTAGCATATTGAAATTTAAGTACAAAGGCCAATAAATGATCTAAGCAAATAAGACTTTAGCAAGTTAATATTTTTACTAGTCTTATCCAAACAATCAAGGTACCATATCATAAATTTAATTTTGGATTTTTTTTTAAAGAAAATATTATCTTTTTGTGTGATCACACTTTAAAATAATGAAAAATACAATGATTTTTGAAAATATATCTCATTTGGG